TCCAAGAACCCCAGCAGCCTGGGATTTGCAGTTCAGATCCCAGGTGTGGACTTACACACCGCTCAACAAGCCATGCTGTGGCAGTGTCCCACATGCAAAATAGAGAGGAGGATTGACATACATCTTAGCTCGGTGACAATCTTCCTCACCAAAATAAAAAACCCAAAAAACAAAAAACCTCATTGAACAGTACACAGAAAATGGGCGCATTTTATTGTTTATGAATTATACCTCAATAAAGTTGATTTTTAAAGTAAAAAAAACAAATCTCCAAAGAGTGGCTTACATTTACTACTTTATTTCTTCAGTAGTTGTACTAGTCAGGGAAGGCTATCCTATGCCATAGTAACCCCTACATCAGAGAGATTTCAAATAACAGCATTTTTTCTCATTCAGTCTGTATGTTCATAGCAGGCACTGGGACCCTTGGCAGTGGAAAAATGAAAATGAGATAACTTGCTCAGCTTCTGCCTTGATATGATACATGCCAATTCTGCCTAGATTTCATTGGCCAGAGCAAGTCATGTGGCCAAGCCTGACTTCAAAGGGATGGGGATGTTCCAGTCTGCAGTGCACCCCAAAGGAGAAACAGAATATTTGTGTAGTGCCATCCTGACTACTACACTAGTCATGTCTTCTTTTACAGCGTGGCCTCTACAACCACCACCCTTCTAAAATGATTGTGTCCAGACTGGGACTCAGAAAATCGGAGATTATTTTTTCCTGGTGAATGGTCAGTTACTCTGCAGGATCATAGGACATATAGAAGGGAAGTTAGGCAAAAAGACGTAGAAAGGTAGGTGGCAGCAAAGAGTTTAAACTTCATTCAATAGGCAAAAATGGAGCCACTGAAAGTTTTCGAGTGAAGGTATAAGTTATCTAGCAAATAGGAAGATTTATTTGGCAGCTGTGCGGAGGAAGGTTTGGAGGGAAGAGAAAATAGACTGGGAGACTATTGCAGGAGTTGTGGTGACCTCTGGAACTATGCAGAAGGGAATGACATAAAAACCACCTCTTGGCAGTGTGGATTTTTCGTCTCTCTTGCCTCAGTCGGTAAATTTAGCAAAGTTAGATACTTCCTCCATTTGACTAGAGCAGCGTCTGGCATATTATAGGCATTAATTAGACATTTGTAGAATAAATAAATAAATCACTTAAAAAAGAATTTGGAGACACTTTTTACATTTCATCAGGGAAATCTAAAAGGACTTTCTGGACCAGCTTACTAACTTCACTCATCTACCTGGCCGATTGCATCTGGCACTCCTCATCTATGTACTTCAAAAATCTGAGCCATCTCTTGGAACACAGAGTATGTCTAAGACTGGAAAATTGCACCCATGCGTAAGAATCTGCCGAATTTGTAGATTATGTCTCAATGTCTGCAGTAACAAACTGGGACGGATCCCCATGTTGTTCACTAACCTTATACACATTCTTCCTAAACAATAGCTTCCATCACAGACCTGCTACTCCCAGACTCCTGAATGCTATGGAAAAAACCACACCACTGTGAAGACTAGTGTACCACCTCTGCATGGCTTCCAGCCCACCTGAAACATTTTTCTGCATGTCCCACCTCAGTTATCTCTCCTACTCTGCACATTAGTTATTTCAGACTTTCACCACTTTCTTCAAGCCAGCCACCTACCCCTTTCTACCCTTTCAGCAAATCACTGTATCTGCTCCTTCAGAGAAAATAGAAGCTACCGGATTGAAATTCCCTCAACTTGCTCACTGAGGTACAGTCTGACATCTGCCCACTACAAACCCATTTTCCTTACTTAGTAGCAGAACCTAGCTGATGAAATTGGGCCACCTAGAGTAAGGACTACGTTTTATAGACTCATGCAGCTAGGTGTGGCCATGGAGCTAACTTCTGGCCAGTGAAAGTGTTGTGTAGAACTTTTGGGAAGGGACTTTAAAGGAAGAGGCCCTGAAAATCCCTTTTCCCCCTCACCATCCCATTTTGACCAGGTTAGAACAGGGAAAAGACGGATAGAGTATAAGTAGCCAGCTGCTGACCATAGGTGACCTTTAGGATAGAAACCATATGATGAGGATGGCAGAAGTGAACAAAGTGTGGGTTGACTTTGTGGAGGTGCTTGTGCCAGCTATGGACTGCCAAGTCCAGACATTGTGTGTCTAAGCAGTGGTTGTTTTGGGTTTTACATGCAGCTGAACTTGATCCTAATACTTTCACCCTCCGGCTTACAAACCTCTCTACTTCACACTTGCCCTTTGGTTTTTTGCCTCTCATCTCAATAAAAGTTTATCTTCCTTTGTCTAAGCCCATTTCCTTCACTTGAACTTATTTTGTTTTTTATTTCCATTTTATGTCTCTATAGTTGGAGAGGCAGTGCAGTCACATAGCAAAATTCAAACGATACCAAAGGGTATATATAGTGAGAAGTCGTCTTACTATTCTTGCCATCCTAGAAATCCAGTTCTCTTCCCCAGAGACGATCAAGGACATCAAATTCATTAATTACCTCCCAGAGATATTCTTTTATTATACATGCAATTAAGTAATGCAATTTATTGGTCCTCTCACAAATTTTCTCACAGTGTGCCAGTTTATGTCTTCATTCAAAGAAAATTTCCTTTTGCTTATTTCTTATAGCTTCTATTTTCTTGATGGGATTCCCTATCTTTACATTTGTTATGAGAATATTTTTCTTTACCTCATTGCACAGTTATAAACCACTGTGGTATATTTGCCAATTCCAGATGTTGGAAATAGGATTTTCGGGTTGACCTCCACTGATTGTGTTTTCTCTTGAGACTAGGTCATATTTTTATATTTCTTTGTGTATCAGGTAATTTTGGAAAGTATCCTGGATTTTGGATATGTTATCTTGTAGATCCTCTGTATTCTGATTTTTCTCTCGAGGGTTTTGTTTTGGTAAGCAGGCAGTTGACTTGGTTTGACCTTGTTGGGCAGCACCTTGAATGCCAGTTTAGTTTTTATTCTTAGATAGGACGCTTGGCTTCCTCCCTACACATGTGTGGTTCATGATTCAGCTAGAGATTTGGTCCTTTTTCAGGCAAAATATCATGAAAATGAGGTAGTCACTTAGTGCCATTCCTTTCTCCCAAGGGCTGACTTCCATCCAGAATCTGCCTGCTCTTGGGTCCACTCAAATATCTTTAGGTGGTCATTTTTGTATTGTCCCCAGAGTGTATAGTTGTTATATGTGATAAAGTCAATCCATTAGGAGCTTAGTTGGTCTTACTAAAAGCAGAATCTAGTTATCTTTCAAGTAGGTCATTTGGGTGATAGGTTTGATAATAAACTTCAAGGACTAGAATGAAGTCAAACCAGTTAGAAAGTTTTTACAGTAATTCAGGCAAGAGCTGATGATGGCCTCAACTAAATTAGTAACAATGGGGATGAAGATGATGAATTAGAGAAAAACATACAGGGTAAAACAACTGGATTTCATGATTGATTGCAAGGGAGATGGTCAGAGTATAAAATGACCTCCTTAATTGTTTTGCAAATCTGATTATACACTAATACAAATTATACACTCAGTTAGGGTATAGGATTCAGCAGCAGTAACAAATGTATATGTATATATTACCTACATTTATATTATGTAGATAATATATACATATACATATACAAAGGTGTATATATATCCTTTTCTTTTCTCTAACATTCTGCAGTCGATCAGTCCGGGCTGGACAGATGGCCCCACTTCACACCGTCTTTCAAGTAGCCAGGCTCTATTCATTTTGTTGATCCACCATCATGAGGGTGCTTTCCTAGTTTTCACGGTCAATTTTAAAGTCACTGCTCTGTCCATGTTCTTTCCTGTGGGAAGAGGGAAAGAGCAAGTGGAGGGCAGGCAATATCAACTTGAAGTGTATGAAGTAGAACTTGCACATATCACATCTGCTTGTAGCCCAGTGGCCAAAACCTAGTCATGTGGCCACACCTAATTACAAGGGAATATGAGAAACATGGACTCTCGTAGGGCAGTCACAACTTGGACAGGGATGGGGGCTCTATTAGTAAAAGGAAGAGTGAGGGAATGGATGCTGGGGAACAAGAACAAGCTGTGTCATTAGTTAGCCCCTCTGGGAGAGAAGTACTCATGAGAACACCTTTTTCCACCACAGAACAAATTTAACCTTTCTCCAGGGGAAACAACTCAAAAGCCCACTCAGATTCTGAATCCAGCAAAATGTTCAGGATCTCTAGGTTACCTCGAAGGAACGAAGGAGACTGGATACTCAGGACAATTCCTGCTTATGTTTCAAATATAAATTTGACATCCTCCGTCTACTCTTCACACACACAGGCAGGTGCATTTTTTGTGTGTTTGGCTTTGGCATAACAGGGGATAGTCACAATTTTATGCATGCCAAACATGGGTCCACAATGTAGTAAAATAAGTCATAGGAATAATGCAGTTTGCATCAGCTATACAACAGCCTCATGTAGACCAAACATAATTTTACAAGGGAGTGCCAATGAGACGATGAAAAGAGGCCTAAGAATGATGGTAATGCCTGAAAAAGAAAAAGAACTAAATATTTGTTCATCCCTGTAAAGTTGATTTAAGATATAACATCAACAGACATATTTTATCTGGTAGGCAGTTCATGAGATAAAGGACTGTGAATAAAGGAAAACACATTAGCCAACAACTTCACATTGTAAAAATTATGAACTGGACTCAAATGACACTAAGTGCAGAGTTTTATAATTAAAAAGGTTTAAAGCTGTGCTAAGCTAAAGGAAGCCTTTAACGTGAAATATTTATTGACTTATGTTGGACAAAATGAAAACATTTTACTGGGTTACACTAACTCTGTTCAGTTTGCCTTAACCTAACTAGGTATCATCATTAGTTACATATATTTTAATTCCAAAGCATCAAATTGTTTATCATAAATTTTCTCTGAGAAAAAAAGACTAAGTTTTTTGAATTAAAAAATCAACATACTTAAGTGGCTTAAAAGTCAGCTTTCCACACATAATTGAAAGATTTGAATTTTGCCTTTTTTTTTTTATTATCCCAGCAAATGTTACACTAGAGAAAATGATTGGGAAAATACAAATAGATTCATTAAAAACACAGGCTGATTATTCATATCTACTACATTCAGAAGTATGCAAAACAATTTAGTTATATTGCAAAGCTGTAATTCCTTTTCCTAACAAAGCATTATTCTATAAAACTGTAGTGTTGTATTGATTCAATTTTAATACAAAATACTTATATACACAACACAATACAAAAGTAAACTGTGGTATAGTGCCTTCCACAAAGGGATATATTAAGGCGCTTTACAAATATTGGTATGTTGACCCAAATTACTTTTTTAGATTAAAACAAACAGGCTAAATGTTTCACTTTAAATATCAAAGGGATGTTTGTTTATTTTTGTTTATTAAAGAAAAATTTCTAAAGTACCTTAGGTAACAGCAGCAGCAATATCTAAAAATCCTCCCACTGTATTCTCTAATTTCTAACATATTATTAAGTCAGAATAAACATTTCCACTCACAGTTTTGCACTTTGCAACAGCAGAAGGTAATAACTTTTTTAAAAAGTCAATCTCAAAGTGACTTCTTAGTCATACATTCTATAGTTTCTATTACAAATAAGGTAGAAAAGATACAGCAATAGGGCCCGCCTTAGGATGTCACTGGACAATACATAACAGTATCTACAATTACATAATTATAGAACACATTTTATAAATACTATTGATATGCATAAGGGGGGGGGTAAGTATAACAAAGACAGCAAGTTTTTTAATGAATGGGAAAATGATTTTTAAAAGAAAACATTTACGACCAATGTTTCCACTCCACTTCAATTGAGAGCATACAGATTTTGATGCTGTTCTCATCTTTTTTGGTCAGGAAGCACCAGATTCTATACTAGGAGAACTGGATATAGTTTGGGAATAAGACAGCTAATAAAGTATATCCAAACTATTAAAACTTCAGCTACTAAAGGCTTGTAGACTGCTTCAAATAAACACGAAAAACTCATATACTGTCCGAGGAATGTAAAAGAATACAAAATTTGTAGTGTGTGTTACATTGGAGGAAGAGGGCAACAGAGATTTTGTGGGGAGGGCGGGGAGGAGACAGCACCTGTTTTCCTAGACATAAATGCAACAAAGTTGGTTTTGTAGTGTATTGCACCATAGTCCAGAAGTAAAAGTAAATGGAAATTTAAATAAATCTGACTGAGAAAACCTGAAGAGTAAGGGGCTATCTTAAAAATCTGAGTGCTGAGCTAAAAGTTCTGCAGCTAATTTCTTTTGCATAGAATTTTACAGGACTAATCAAATGTTCCATGAAGTGAAGACTGCCATCTCATTATAGTGCATTTTCTTACAATTCTGATTAGAAGTCATTCAGAAATATTTCTGTATCAAGCCAAACATATATTTCAGTGCCCTCAAAAGGGTATGTTTAAAATGTCTTCGTGCTGTACCAGCAAGAGAGAGGCATTCATAAGGATATCTTATCACAGGGTACAGATCTTTTCCACCATAAATTCTCGGTGTTTATACAAGATATGCTAATCTGAGTACTAATCAGTAAATTTAAAGCAAAATTCTTAGTTTAATGTGTCAGTGTTCTTATAGGACTGAAGTCCTTAAGCAAGAATTTGTGACAGGTTTCAACACGTCCAGAATCCCTAAAACTGCATGCGACTAATTTATGGGAATGTGTTGATGTGCATTTTTCTGAAAAGAGAGTCCACAGCTTTCATCAGACTCTCAAAAGGACCAATGACCCCCCAAAACCCACCATTACACACTGGGTTACACGGTAATTTACAAGCTGAGCTCTGAGAAGGCCACCTATAGAAAGGTAGGAAATGTGAGCTAATCTTCTTTGCCCTCCCTAATCAACTAGAACAGCTGTGCCTTTACTTTTACTTAATAGATGATTTCCATTAGCTTTTATGTGAAGAAAGCTAAAAGTTTGAAAATCCGTAAATTTATGTCTCTTACCCATAAATAGTAAGTTTTGATAGAACAATTCCTTATCAGTGGAGCTTAAGAAAAGGAAATAAAATACAAATTTAACTGATGTCAGAATACAGCCCTTTTCCCCTTCCTAAAAGATAAGCTAAATGTATTTTGGTATGAAACCACAAGTCCTTCTTAAAATCTAAGCATTATATATAAAGGCATGCTGAAAAACATATTATTTAACCTTAAATAAGTTAGGAGGATTTGAATTTTCCACTAAAACCACTATGTAACTTTTCCTAATTACTAATGGCCACCTTAATTAACAGTTAAATAATAATTAATTTTTTCACCAATTAATCTGCCCATAGGTAAAATATTGCCAAACAGCCAGATTTTCCTTTGCCACTAACAATACGTGGCACTGTTCTGAAAGAGAAAACCTATAACATTCCCGATGATATAATCAAAACTGTCACTATGTAGAAAAAGTACTTTCTAGTGAGTATCCACAAATAATTTCTAATCAAAGTTTCATATGAAACTTAATCTCTGCAAGGATGGTGGAAAATTTTCTAAAATTCTGAAGTAAAATATGAGAGATCTTAGCTTTTAGTGTTAAAAATTTTGATTTATGGCAGTTTTGTTCCCTTTTAAAACTGGAAGCAGCATTAAAAATATCAAGATGGAAAGAAAAATGGTAGTGCTTTGCTTCTTTTTAAGCCAGTAATTCTTGAGAAATAAATGCTAGAAGGTTAAATATTCCAGAGGGAAAAAAAAAGATAAGCTGCATTATTTTTCCTTCTGATGAACATACTGTTTCAACCCTGTAGTTCTCAGTTCCAAGATGTGAATTGTACAGATTATCATTAACCGACGAACGCTCACCACTATGATGGCTTAATTTCTATAGCTTATTCTGTACCAAAAACAAGTTTATGAAGGGAGAAAAAGGAGCTCTGTAAATGTGGGGTATATTTCATATTTGGTTAAAGCAAGATAAAACTAAAAATGTCTTTCAAAACCATTTCAAAAACTCTTGTCTTTTAAAATTATTTAGCATATGTACAAATAGATACCAGGCTTCTCCTTTTAAACAAAGCACTATTTTTTATTTTAAGTACTTTAAGTACCAAGAACTGATTATAATATTCAGTTCATAATTTACTTTCTTTATAACAAATTTTTTCTAAATTACTGATTAAAAAGGCTGGAATAAATTAACATTTTAAAAGGATTTCCCATAATTTAGGAACATAAAATATTGTACACAGAGCACACATACATAGCTCTGTCACATTTGCATAATTTTACTCTCAAAAAGACTCAAAAGACCCTGTGTTTCAGGCCTTTTTGCAAATCCTCAACACAACTATTTCCGAGCAGGTTAAACATAAACTAGATCCCGATTTTTAATCTCTGAGCCTGTGTGCTGATCATCTTCATCTGACTGTTGCTCTGAGCCTTGTGAATTAATGTATTCATACTCAATAGGCTTTGGATAATTATATGGGTAGCCATTGTCATCAAAAAACCTCCGAAAGGTAAACTCATAAAAAGCATGTTCAGGGTGCTTTCCGTTTTTATACCATCCGTTGAGAGTGTCATTCACATTTTCTTCCTCGTTATCATCACTCCATAACTTATCAGGATCAACAGGATCGAAATTTGATGTATCGGTTGGATGTGTGATTTTAGGAATGTACGAAGCAGACTGTTGTCTCAGGTCACTGGAGAAATCAATTGTTTTAAAAAATGGATGAGCTTTTATTTCATCAGCACCATTCTTGCCTAAGCGGTCTTCTGGTCCTCGGCAAAGTTTAATAATAAGATCAGAGGCTTCAGGACTCAGTTTAGCTTGTGGTGGAATGTGAAGAGATGTTTGCCAGTTGATAACCTTTAAAGAAGATATTTAAAAATTAGAATGGAAGAGATAAATGAGAAAAACAAAGATTTTCTCCAAGTTTTATACCAAAAGGTTTTACTGGAGTATTGGTGTTTTTTAAAATAAATTGCATGGTATTCCACCTTTCTTGCCTTTAATAATGAACCACTGGAGGGAAATAACCTTTCCTCCCATCCCCTCCTCTCCCAGCAACTTATACTCACATTAGAAGACTCACTGTAAGTGTTAGCTCCCCTGTCACGCTCTTCTACCTAGGCAGAAATGACTATTTCTACTGTGCCTCCTCTGTTCTCTATATTTACTTGTATCATAATATCTCTAATACTCTGTGATACCTATCTATGTCTGTGTCTTTCTACTACAGGATAAAATTCCATAAGGATAATAGAGACCATGTTTTGTCTTTCTACTTCCCAGTGCTCGGCAAATTGCCTGGCATATAATTAATAGATGTTCAATAAATGTTCATTCTGGTTTTGAATAAACCAGAATGAGGGAGGGAGGAAGGAGGAAAGAAGGGAGAGAAGTAGGAAAGAAGGGAAGTAAAGGCAGTATGTAGTCAACACATATTTGTTAAGTAAGTGAATAAATGAACCCATTCTTCCTAATTTATATAGCAGCTTATCAGCTACCGTACAGGGAAGAAAAATAAACCCCTCCTCTAGTATCTGTTCATCTTAAGGTCTTCTCCTGGGTTAGAAAAAGGAGATGCCTCAGCTAATAATAAAATATTTCTTTGAATTTTGGAAAAAAATCACAATATGGTAGTAGTTATTTATGCCTGGTTCTGTCATCTATTTCAGATAGGGAAAATGAAAATATATGATCAACTGGACAAGTTCTTTACTTTAAAGGATCCAGGATTTTTTTAGTTTAAGGTAAAAATAAAAAATAAAAGACTAGGTATAGCAAAAGAAGATTCATTTAATTCAAAGATGGGTCAATAAAAATTAAACTGAAGCAGAGAAAGAAAAAACATGGAATAAAAAAAATAAAGCATAAGAGAAATGTAGGAAAATATCAAATGTCTACCATATGTATTCTAATTAGAGTCCCAGAAGGAGAGGAGGAGGCAGAAGAAATCTTTCACGAGGGTAACGACAGGGAATTTTCCAAAACCGATGAAAGTCGTCACCTACAATTCAAGAAGCTTTGCGAATCTCAATCAAGATAATTATAGAGAAAACTACACATAGGCACAAAACATGGTGAAAGTGCAGAAAACCAAGGTTAAAGAGAAAAAAAATCCTGAAAGCAGCTAGAAAGAGAGGTTCCAGTCCTGAGGAAGGTGTCATAGGTGTACTCCGCCCTGTCTCTGCTACTGAACGCAGTTACAGCACCTGGACAGAAGCATGGAGCAGCCACCTGAGGACCCTGGAAAGTAAACAGGAAAAGGCAGATTGGGGAAGAAGATGAGAATTTGAAGTACCAAGGAATTGGTGGTGAATTTATCATTTTTTCCCTCTGGAATCCCCTGGCTCACCCTCAAGGTAGCCCAAAGCCTGAAGCGGTATAGCACAGACTGAGCTCCAGGAAAAGCCTCCTTAGTTCAAGCTTGGGGAGTGGGAAAGGGATTTCCTGGCCACAACAGAAGTGCAACAAGGGCCACCAAAAACTCTGAGGGCACCCTTCCTCTCCAATTGGAAATCAAATCATCACGGCATGTGGTCTCAAAAGGATGGATCGAACCGAATCCTGTCACTTTTTTGCTCTCTCTGTACTCTCGCCACCTTGTCCTGGATGCAGGCAGTCATGAGCTGTGTGTGGCAGAATAGGGTAAATAAAGCTTGACTTTCTGTTCAAAGAACTGAAAAGGGGAACCCAAGAGAACTGGAAAGGACTAGGGACATGGCAGAGAAGGAGGAGATTGGGAAATCGACCCCAAAAAGTTGTTTACAAACTGCTGGGCTCACCTCCAAACTGCACCTGTGTGGGTCTAATCCTGAAGAGCATGTCAAAGACTCTGAGAATTAAACTAAGGAAAAGCCTGCAGCCCATGGACAGATCTGCCTAGCAATGCGAAGACGCTGACAACGAAACTGACACTGAAATCACAAGCCACAAAAGGCTGGTTGGAACTTGTGGCCTGAATCAACCAGGTTTAATGCCTACCAAAACAATATCAACATTCTCCATGAGATTTAAACAAGACCCAGAGTCTCATAACATAATATTCAAAATGTCCAGGATACAATCCAAAATTACTTGGCATATAAAGAAACATGAAAATTTCAACCCACATAGGAAAAGAAAGTCAACAGACATTAGTGTTGAGATGATGCAGATGTTAGAATTATTTGACAAAGACTTTAAAGTAGCCATTATAAAACTGCTCCAAATAAGGATGAATACTCTTGAAATGAAATGAAAGACAAAGTCTCAGCAAAGAGACTGAAGATAGGAAGAGGTACCAACCTCCTAAAGCATCTGGCTTGTGCCAGAGCCGGCAACACAGACCTTACTTTCCAAGAATTTGGAGGTGTGCATTTTGGTTGGTCTTGATGATTCTCTTGAAGGACCAGCCCAGATGCCTGCCTTTCTTTCCACCCCCTCAGGAATATGTAAAGACACAGACATGCATTTCTTTTTTGATCCAGACATTTAAGAAAATGTCTATCAGGTCACTGACTTGGGCTGTTTTTCTTAATGTTGAGATTTGAGAGTCCTTTATATAGTCTAGATACAAGCCCCTGGTTGGATATGTGATCTGCAAATATTTTCTCCCACACTGTAGCTTGTCTTTTTATTGTCTTGACTGTATCTTTGGCAGACTGAAAGTTTTTAATTTTGATGAAGTCCAATTTCTCGACCTTTTCTTTTATGGACCATAATTTTGGTGTAATTTCTAAGAACTCTTCACCCAACCCCTGGCCATAAAGATCTTCTCCTATGTTTTCTTCTAAAGCTTTAGGTTTTTTCTCTAGATCTATGATTCATTTTAAGTTGATCTTTGTGCAAGGTCTGAGTTTAAATTTGGAGGGAAGTGACGGCTTTACTATGTTGAGTCTTCCTATCCATCAGCATAGAATTTGTCTCCATTTACAGATCTTCCTTATGATGGGGTTATGTCCCAATAAACTCACTGTAAGCTGATCCTAAGTCAAAAATGCACTTAATGCACCTAATCTATGCCTAGCCTATCTTAAATGTGCTCAGAACACTTACGTTAGCCTACAGTTGGGCAAAATCATCTAATACAAAGCCTATTTTATAATAAAGTGTTGAATAGCTCATGTAATTTATTGAATACTGTACTGAAAGTGAAAAACAGAATGGCTGACTGGGTACAGAATGGCTACTAAGTGTATCAGTTGTTTACCCTCGTGACTGCGTGGCTGATTGGGAGCTGTGGCTGGCTGCCACTGCCCAGCATCATGAGAGAATCGTACCACATATGGCTAGCCCAGAAAAGATCCAAATTCAAAATTCCGAGTATGTTTTCTACTCAATGTGTATCACTTTTGCACCATCGTAAAGCTGAAAAGTCTTAAGTCAAACCATCATAAGCTGGGGACTATATTAAGATCTTCCTTAATTTCTTTCATCAGAGTTTGTAGTTTTCAGCATACAGATCTTGTTCATGTTCTACTAGATTTATACTATTTCATTTTGGGGAAGCTATTATAAATAGTATTGTTTTTAAATTTCAGTTTCTGGTTGTTCATTGCTTGAATATAGAAATACAATAGATTTTTATGTGTTACCCTTATATCCTACAACCTTGCTAAACTCATTTATTAGTTCTATGGGTTTTTTCATAGATTCCCTGGGATTTTCTATATAGAAAATTATGTCATCTGTGAATAGGAGAAGTTTCTATTTCTTTCTAATCATATGCCTTTTATTTCTTTTTGTTGCTGTATTGCACGGGCTAAGACTTCCAGAACTTTGTTGAATAAGACTGGTGAGAATAGACATCCCTGCCTGTTCTTGATCTTAGGGAGAAAGCATTCAATTTTTCACATGCACACACACACAAATATACATATACATATATTTTATATTACATGTATTATATGTATGTTATATTATATATATATTAAAATAAAGGCAAAATAAAGAAACTTTCAGACAAACAAATCTGACAAAAACCTGAGAGAATGCATTACCAGGAGACCTGTACTAAAAGAAATCCTAAGGGAAGTTTTAAATATAATATATTAAATGCAGTGACAGAAGTAGTCACAACTTGGGGGGGGGAGCATCATAGAAGAGATGATAGCTCAAGTCACCCTCAAAGAATGATTAAGAATGATCAGGAGTTAACCAGGCTTCCGAAAGGAGGGAGGGTTGTGGAAAATGAGGGAGAAGGAAGAAGGACATTTCAGACAGAGGGAACGGTATGAACAAAGGAACACAGGATAAATTTGGACTTTAACCCACAGACAAAGGTACCACTAAAGGGTTTTTAATGGAACAGTTTATGGTCAAAATTGTGGGCAGTTTCTCATTTGAGTTCCAGAAGTAATTTCAAGTGGAGATATAAGCACTTGTTTATAGTTTGGGGCTAGAATGTGCATGGGAGGAAACAAAGTGAGTGGTGACAAAGAGTAAACTGGACCAAATCTTCGAAGGGTACTAGAGACTTTTATGAGAATGAAATATGAGTGTAGTGGATGAAGGAGGGAAGACATGAGAGTACGATGACCGTGGGATGACAGAGATTAGCATTCATGCATGGAATTTTAGTGGGTTCCTATATCCTTACAAGTTCATTCTTTAATTCCAGATTAAGACGCTCTAAGGACTGAAAAAGGTCTATGGTATAGGGATTTTGTGACAATTCTTTTGGTATAGATTCTATTCCTTACCTTCATTTGTGTTTCTAATGGTGTTTGTGCCAGGAAAGGAGGTTGTCCCACCAGCATTTCAAAAAGAATTACACCAACACTCCACCAATCACATAACTGGGTATAGCCTAAAATAACAAAGTTGTACTTATTCATAAGCACTGTTTAAAAAGTGCTCCAAAGTAAGACAATCAAAATTAATATTAAGTCACCAATTTATACTGTAAAACCCTTTTATTAAAAACCCCCAAAATAAGCTGTATTCTAATGTAAATTTCAGCTGGTCTTACTGAGATTATTGATGAAACAAATGTTTTACCTGTTCGTAACAACACTTCAGGTGCAATATAATTGGGAGTCCCAACCAAGGAATGCGCTAGACATCGCTGGTGCTGGCGTGCAGCTCTCCGCTCTAGCGGCTTCAGTCTGTCTCCACATCGACAGTTAGAGGGGTCACCCCATTCATTACTGAAATCCATGCTGTCTTGCCGTGGATGGTCACCTGTGTAGTTTAAAAAAAATAAAAAAGTGACAGGAACAAGAATAAACCTAAAGTCTGTTTAATCTTTTGACATCATGGCTTAGAGTTAACAACACTCTCCCCTTGTGACAAGCTAAGACATAACGTACGGCAAGTCACTTGATTCTGTTTATTACTGACTAGAGCCTGTGCTCTGAGATAATAACAGGACAAATTTTACACTAAAAAAAAATAGCCTAAGATTCAGTAATTTATTCAATGTTAAATGATGACAAAAGTCATGAGTAGGAAGGATTAGAGTTTGTTATTCAGACTGCTCCCCATTACTACTCTGCACAAAGTTTCAAACAAATTAGATCAGTATTTCATTCAATCAACAGGTGACAACGATAAATAAGAAAGACAGGGTTCTTCTCTCAGGCAGTTTCTCTGTAGGTGAGAAAAACAACAAATACATATATAAGAAACAGTGAGGGGCCGGCCCAGTGGTGCAGCAGTTAAGTTCGCACGTTCTGCTTCTTGGTGGCCCGGGGTTCACCGGTTCGGATCCTGGGTGCTGACATGGCACTGCTCATCAAGCCATGCTGTGGTAGGCATCCCACATATAAAGTAAAGGAAGATGGGCATGGATGTTAGCTCAGGGCCAGTCTTCCTCACCAAAAAGAGGAGGATTGGCAGCAGTTAGCTCAGGGCTAATCTTCCTCAAAAAAAAAAAAACCACACAGTGATGTGTCCCACATGGAGAATCAACATGGGGTGATGTGACAAATGTGCTAGGATGGTTAGGGGAGAGCAATTGAGGTGACATTTGTAATAAACAAGAGGGACTCAACCATGTGAAGACCAGGGCAAGGTATTCTACCCAGAAACAACAGCGACAGAGACATCAGTGTGCTTAACCTAGGGGAGAATGGGAGGATATGGAGTGGGAGCCAGTGCACGTGGGTTTTGTAAGCAAAAGAAATGGTTTGCCTTTTCCTCTCAGTACAGGTGGAAAACACCAGAGTTTAGAGCAAGAGAATGACAAGATCTGATTCATGTTTAAAAAAGAAAACTAACTGCTACACGTGTGGAGAACAGATTTCGGGGAGGACAAGAATGAATAGAGCAGTTCAGAGGCTATTCCAGTTAAGCTTGGACAATGATGGTAATAATGGAGATGGAGAAAAGTGAACAAACTCAGGATATATTTAAAGGTAAAGTAAGGAGAACTTATGATTAGATGGCGGGGAATGTGGGGGAAAAAAGAATCAAGGATAACTAGGTGGGGGTGGTGCTACAATTTCCTAAAATGGCAGACAGGAAGGGGAACAAATATGAGGGGGAGAAATTAAGAGTTGTTTATTGGCAATGTTAAGTTTGAAAGGCCTATCAGAAATCCATATAAAAGGGAGAGGCCATTTCTAGAGAGAAAGATTTACAAGTTACTGATAACAGAGATGGTATTTAAAGCCATGACTGGATGAAATCACCTAGAAAAATGTATCAGAAATTAACCTAACTGTAATAATCTTCTGGGTTGTTTTATTAAAATAAAATTTCCTCCCCCTGGTGAAGATTTTCAATCAGAAGACTAGAACAGAGCTTAAGAATCATATTTTTAAGAAGAGTCCCGAAGTAATCAGGTGAATCTGGGGAGAAATTAAATTACATTAAGCTGAATATTAAAGTAGGTTCAGGTGTCTCAGATCTGTCCCTTTAATGTCAATCTGCCTGTGATCACAGAAGCACAGGAGGCTAACGATACTTCAGAGGGTTGCTGTGAGCATTAAATTAGAATATGTCAAGCACCTAGTCATAGAAAGTATTCAACAAATGTCAGATCAACTTACACTTTCACTAGCACTTGAAGGGATCTTGGTGAGGCAGTGTGGTGTAGTAGAAATAACATGGTCCCTGTAATCAGACAAACCTGGGTTCAAAGCCTAGCCCTTACCCTAATTTTCTGTCTGACCTTGGGCAAGTTTCTTCATCTAACTAAGCCTCAGCTTCTTCATCCTGCCTCACAAGGACATTGTAAGGACTAACCAGGATCATGTACATAAAGCACTTATGGTTAAATAAGTTGTGTAATATACAATGGAATCCTAAATAGCAGTGAAAATACATGTTATATGCAATAACATAGATGAACCTCAAACACATAGAAGTCAACACAGAATACATACACAATGATTACATTTAAATAAAGTTTCAAGAGTAGACAAAATGAAATAATATATCATTTAGGGATGTGTACCCATGTGGTAAAAGTATAGAGAAACGTGTAAAGAACTGATTACAAAGTTCTGAAATAATGGTTACTTCTGTGGAGGAAAGAAGGACGAAGTGATTGTTTTAGAGGCTTTGAAAGTACTGATAATCTAGTTCATAAGCTGAATGATGGGTACAGGGCTTTACTTAAAAATTATTTTTAAAATGTTCCTTGTCTGACATATTTCAAATTAACAAAATGTAAGGAGGTTAACTCAAATGTGAATGATATTTAGAAATAATTGAATCTAACACACTCTCATTTTATATGTCTAAGCGTCTAAAGGATTCACCCATGTTTATCCAACAGAGGCAAGACTGACCCAGGACTTCTGGCTCCCATGTAGTGATAATACCATCATATATTTTATTGCATTAATAAATCATGTTAATATGTACAAATAAATTTTATGATTTTACTCACCACTCTGATAGTACTTAGAATCATGTGTCCATCTGAAGCCAGTGCAGAGGCCGAAGTCAGTCAATTTAATATGACCATCACGATCGATCAAAATGTTATCAGGTTTAATATCTCTATGAATAAAACCCATTTTATGAACACTTTCAACTGCACAGGTAAGTTCTGCTATGTAGAATCGTGCCAGATTTTCTGGAAAGATGCCCATTCTAATTAATAGACTCATCATATCACCCCCAGGAATATAGTCCATTACAAAGTATAAATTGTCCTTATCTTGGAATGAATAATATAGACGAACTACCCATTCGTTATCAGCTTCGGCCAGGATATCTCTCTCAGCTTTAACGTGAGCAACTTGGTTTCGAAGGAGAACATCTTTCTTTCGAAGAGTTTTTGTTGCATACAAAGCCTTAGTATCTACTTTTCTTGCTAGACAGACTTCACCAAATGCTCCTATTCCTAGTGTCTTTATCTTCACAAACATAGACTTGTCCATTTTAGCCCTCTTAAGACGGATATAATTAGACTCTTTTTGGCAAAGCATCTTTCTCATTTGATCCTGGGCATCTTGAGATAATCCAACCTAGACAAATAAACTAAATGTTAAATGAGGAATTATCTTCTATAGTGAATATTAAGAAATAGCTTGAAAAAAATCAGGCATATATTTAAAGGTTAAATGCATAATAATTTTTAATAAAGCATGTTAGAAATTTAGAATATATTTCAGAGAAAATTAATTATCAAAAGTGCAGCTTAAAGGATGGTTAACAGGACATACAAGGTGAGTATATATATGCAGACTGTGCTGTAGAGAGCAAGAAGATGATGCCAGTGGTCAGCTTTCTACTCCTCTCTATTGCACTCCAAAGAAATGTTCCCAATGTGCATTAGTTAAACATCTATTAACATGCATCCTCATCTATCTCTCCATGCATATTCTTCCCAAATTACATGACCAGATTGTCTTCATTATATGCTTCTCTTCGTGGATTGCCTGGGCCTCAAATATTCTTCCTCCCATTTTATTCTTCATGAAAACAAATTCTTCCACTCCAGGTTTATTTATTTTAAAAAACTGATGTATGCAGAACAAAAGAATGTCTTTTCTAAACTACCACTCATTAAATCAGGCTTTTATCTTTCTCAAGATATTAGATTAAGGGTAGGATTCACAGCCATCACTAACACACAATGCAAAGGTTTTCTCTGGCCTTATTTAAGAGGGACACCTTGTTTGATCACAAGGTATTTTTTAGATATTTTGAAACATTTCAAAGAATAGTCACTGTGACTTACAAAGGTACCAAAACACAGGTAAAAACAGAAACCAATTTCTAGTAGACACGGAATACCCGGATTTAGAAGGAGGAACAGTTTATTTTTGGCTAGTTAATAAAGAACTAATTTAAGGTTTAAATAGAAAAGGAATTTGATTTAAAAAGTAGAGTCTAATTCTAGAAATGGCAAGACTAATTAAAACATAGCAACCTCATGCTTCTGTTAGGATGCGCATTTGCATGCAAAATCTTTTCAGAAGGGTGGCATGCCAGACTCAGTATAGAACTGTTTCTCTTAAAATCTTACTTGCCTACACAGTAATGGAGGCTACAGAAGTCAGCAAAGCTTCCAACACCATAAAAGTTTAAATCAGCTATTAGTGAAAGTGAAGAGGAAAAAGGAAAAATAAACTAAGAAAATACATACAGACAGACTTTAGTAAGAAATCCTAAGAGCTAAAATATGGATAAGTCATACAGATTATCACGGAATTTCTCATCTAACAAAATTCAATTTATAACAGGAATAACAATATTGTGAAATCAGATATAGGAAAATAATCTTAAAAGAATGGCTCTCAAGTTATGTGAGAAAGTTTTATTACAAATTTAAGCCTCTTAGATTTTGAGCAATAGATCTAGGATTAGGAGTCAAATCTTTGAACTGTAAACGTGACAAAAACAATGATGATAGTACCACCACAATATCCAGTGAAGAGATCTATAGGGAATCACAACAGAGATTAATCTAAAGTGAGTATTTACCTATTCGGATCTCTTTTTTAGTAGTTTAATAATGTCAGCACATTTTCCCAGTACATTATAAAAATGAAATTAGAAGGGGAAATAACTGAAGGGAGATGTCTCTGACACTTTCTAACAAGATCAATGTAAGGAATAAACCCACAAGCCCCAAAACACCTATAAATAAAAATAAAAGTTTCATAACTATTCAAGAGACGGGATCCAGATATTTCTAGCTTATTTTAAAATGTTGTAAAACAATGTGTAAAACCTAGAAAATAACCTTTGCTCCAATTTCATATAAAGGAATTATGTGCACCTAACCTGCACACTATAAATTATATTTTTCTTAATTTATGTGAAGAACTTTATTACAGGAAATTCTGAGTAATTCTTAAAATACTAAAATAAAATGCTACAATCAAAAGTACTTTAATGTTTACTGACTTAAATAATTGGTAATATATTTAGCTATCAAACGAAAGAAAAATATTGGACCACAATATTTTAAAATAAACACCAAGTAAATAGATGATCAAGTATAAAAATGGGCATTTTAAAAGGCTTTACCCGCATCATTTCATTCTCTAATTGTTTTTTACGATGTAGACGTTGCTGATGAGATTTGAGTACATTTTCTACATGTTGCTCCATAAAGAATTTAAATGCCTGAGGAGAATAACTTTGAATACGAGACTCCCTTCGCTCTTCATCTTTCTTGTTTTTCCTTACGGTGATCGGGGAAGTTGTGATCTGTTTCTTTTCCTTCTCCCCACTATCGACATTTTCATAACTTTTTTCACTCTCCTCTTCCTTGGGCAGGCTTGGCTGATCCTCCTTGCTGGATTTCCCGACTGATTCATATGGAGGAACAGGCGGGTTTTGGTGGAGCAGGTGTTTTGGATAAGGTGGTGGTGGGCCTTGATAGTTGGGAGCTTCAGCAACAGGAGGCATAACAGTCATATTTGAAGGGGCCCCCTCAGGAAAAGGACTCGGTTGAACAGTTTGGATTGGCTGTGGTACCCAAGAAGGGTGTGTTGGTGCTAAGGCAGTCTGGAGCTCTGGTTTTAACACACGTATACTTTTCACAGGCTGTTGAATAGGAGCTGGTGTAATAGCAGTGACTGTTGTAGCTGAAGGCTGAGAATTAGCAGAATGACTTGTTCTATTTCCTAATGGGTTATTAAAAGAATTTGACCTCACTGGTATGTTAGGTTGCCATGCAGGGATTTCATGCCCACTGCTTGGGGACGACTGGGCTGGAGCAGAAGATGACTGAGGCCAAGTCGTTTGCAGTCCAGGTACATTAATGTTATAAAGTTCCATGTTATGACTGTTTCTGTTTGGCACCATCATGGATTGAGGAATATTTCCATTTGTATATGATGAAGGAGCAGGAGATCCCACTGTTTGTAAAGCAGAAGGGCTTTGTCCATTAGTTGGGGTTAGAGGATACGGAGGGGGTGGCTGCCGATTCACAGCTCCAGCAGGGACAACATTTTGGTGTATCATAAAATCAGTTTGACCACTACCATTCTGAAGTCCAGGCCTCCCTGGTGGAAAGTTAAATTTGTTAGAACTCTGCATGATGATTGGTTGTCTGCCAACAGGAACAGAACTCATGCCTCTCTGTCCCTGATTAGGAGGATTCATGGGGGACGTGTTCAGAGGAGGTGGAGGATAGCCCTCCTGCCAGGTTCCAGGTGGAACGGGAGAGATTCGAGAAATGACGTACTCCATGTTCCCAGAATAGCGCTTTGTTTGAGAGTTCGGTTCCCACGAGGGGGGAGGTGGTGTTGTACCTCTTGGAGGGGGAGTCTGGCCTCTTGGAGGTGGTGGAGGAGTGACACTCCTTACTTGAGGAGGTGGTGGAGGGTTCACTCTCTGTCCGTTGCTAGGATGAGCTTGAGCAAATCCTGTTATACCAGATCCTGACAAAGGTCTTCCTGCGTCTGTCTGCGAGTTGGGACTTTCAGAACGATAGGCCACACTTTCTCCTAGTGGTGGGCCGTGTCTCTGAGGGACTAAGGATTCTTTAGAACCTTTCCAGCTTTGTTTGCGGTTAATTGATTGTTGCACACTCCCTGTGTTCATAAAACAGAGAAAAAAACCATGTTTTTAATCTCTTATTTTTGAAAAATTTAGCTTGGAATTCTGACACTACTAAATGATAATTCTCTTCCAAGAATTACAAAAATCAACTTTTAGTAAGTGGTTTTATTTTACCTTTTAAAATTTTATTTATTTTTGACTAGGTAATACATTCTCATAGCTCAAAATTCTGGAGAAACAAAAGGATACCCACCTTTGTGCCTCAGCCAACCTCTTCCTTGAAGGTAACTAATGTCAGTAAGACAGCTTAGGGATACACAAGTAAATAGTATACCCCCTATATATACTATCGCGCCTGGCTCTTTTAACATTAAAAAATTGCAGATTCTGTATCAGTATATAAAGTATTTCCTCACTTTTAAAAAAATGTTATCACAGTTTTTCACTGTACGGATGTACTCAAATTTATTTTATTAGTTCCCCTATTGATGGATTCTAAGGTTGTTTCTAGTCTTTGCTTTACAAAAAAAAAAAAGCCAATGAAAAATTTTGTACAGATATCATTTCATATATATGTTAAGTAGATAAATTATTAGAAGTGGCATTATTGAGCCAAAGGGTGTGACCATTTGTAATTATGATAGATGCAACAACTAATTTTAAATACCTTTCAACATGATTTTTAAAACAGAAAAAAACACAGCAGGGGACAATTAGCTGAACACTAAATAAGGTATAAATTTTACAGAGTCTTTCTTTAATGGAATTTCCAAATAAATGAAACAGGCAAGAAAATACAGGATACCAAAAAAAATGAAATATTTAAAATATTCTGGCCACATGTAAAAAGATATATAATACATTTAAAAAGATATATAATACATTTGTATAAAATACAATATATATAAATAATACATTCCAGAAGGATTAAACATTTAAGTGTTAAAGATGAAACTATACAAGTACTAGGAAAAACAAGTGAAGATTCAATAATATAAGATTCAATAATTTTCTGCCTCTTGGGAAGGTCTTCCAGGTATGACAAAGGGAGACAGCATATAGTAAAAGACTGACAGATCTAAATACATAAACTCTTATCACCATTCAAAACAAACAAGAAACATCTGCAAATTTGAAAGGTCAACATCATGCCGGGAGAAAATATATTTAATAATACATAGGAGATAAAAGTGGTGAATGCACAGTTTAACACTCCACTTCATCTAGGCTGGGCAACATCTTGAGTCTATGACTTTAGGGAAAGTCATTACTGTGGGCAAGCTGAGCAAGTCCTCTGGCCACCAAGCTAGTCTCACCTTCCTCAGACAGTCAGCTGAAGCTAAATACACGTCACTCACCCAGCTTTTACCAGTTAAAAGTCAGTCTCTGCAACCCTAGAGTACACTGCCGTCCCTGTTGATGTGCACCTCCCATAAAGCTCTCCGTGCTCTTCCAGTCCCCAAACCCTCCCACTATCGCCCTCTAGGCATGCTCTGCTCTATAACCGCAAATGCTCCTGTATCATTAACCTCCGCTCCAAGCTTTCCCACCACCTCTTTAAAGCTGGTTATCTTCTGCTGACATCACTTTCCTTTCAGGTCTTTGCAATTAACGTTTTCTTTAAAAACTGAGCTAAAAGGAGGGATTCTACCCCTTTGCTCTCCATTTATACTTCCAATTATTATTGTTTTTTACACTTTTGTAAAAAAGCCAGCTCTTTGGAAGCTCATGCTATCTGGGAGGCCATGTTCATTCTTCTCACCTAATGAACTCCCACTTGCTCACCCTCATGTACCCATAACTTGGGTATTCAGTCTACCCTACACCCTGCCACCATTCTGTAACTTCAACATCCACAAAGACAAACTATCCCATCACCCTCACTTCTCATTTCTTCAGCTCCTCCCCTCTACTCCACCTAAATATCACTCCCAAGATCACATTTCTAATTTTGATATTATCCATCTGTGCTTCTTTTTCAAAATCACTAATTTAAAGTTTATACTCTTGGATCACAACTTCTTCTCCTCCTCATGTTTACTCCTACTGCAAACATTCTTCAACCTCATCAAGACCTCCAATATTTAATCTTCTACTTCATCAGTCCTCCTCTTTCTTTATGGTGCACTTTAGCCAATGTAAATCCATGGTCCATCACTTCTTTCTCCCCTTTGTATTCCTTCTCTCCTCTCCTCATTTCTCTTCATTCATTAAATATTTATTGAGCATCTATATACTAGGCACTGCCCTAAGCAATCCAAGTGCATTGGTGAACAAGATAACATCCCTGGCCCCATGAAAGTTACATTCTTGGAGGAGGAGACTCACAATAAAAAAGTGAATAAATGAACAAGGTAACATCCAGGTATGATAGATGCTATATTAAGGAAACATAAATGGTGTCAAATGCTAGAGAGTAACAGGAGGATAGAAAGGGAAGAGTGGTCAGAAAAGGCTCCACCAAGCAAAGGACATATGATCTAACACTGGGCAAGGGTCCTGAGGTGGGAGTTTGGTATTTTCCAGGAACAAAAAAGAAACCTCATATGGCTGGAGAAGCAGTAAATGAGGGGAAGAGTGGTACTAGATGAAGTCTGAGAGCAGCGAAGCCACAGAGAGGAGTTTGGAAGGAATGAGAAGCCACTAAAGGCAGAGGAGGAATATGCTCTGATCAAGATTGAAATTACCCCTTCAGCAATATTCTAAACTCCCTTTATCTCTCTATCTTATGTTGCACATGTTTAGTAAAACTCCAGTCACGGATGATTCCAGCCATCTACTTTTTCTCATGCCTGCTAGAAAAGGTGATGTAAAGAGCAGACGGATCCCACCAAAAATTCAGGATCAGCATCATCAAACGGCTTCAGCACTGCCGGGAAATCCAACTGCTTCTTTTGGTCTCCGGTCCTCTCAGCAGTCTCAACTGCCTGCCCCATTCCCCAACCACCATGCTTAGCTGACTTGCTACTTCAGAGGAAACTGAAGGCATCAGAAAGGAATTCCCTTATTCCCTAATAATTTTCCTGTTAGAGCAAAATGGTTGTTTTTCTTCCTAGGTAAAGCTGATAATCTCTCATCCTGTGCTTTGGATCCTCCTTCTCCTGTCTTCTCAGGAACCTTACTTGATCCTTCCCTCTTGAATATTTAATTTCATCCTCTTAATTGGAGTCTTGCAATTATCTTTTAAACATGGCTAAGTCTTTCCAATTAAAACAATAATAAGGCTCTCCCTCCACTCCCATATAGACTGCTACCTCCAAGTGTTATTTGGTGCTGGTCCACAAACTGATACCGGCCCATCATGAGATAAGTATGGAAGTTGACAGTAAAAATTTAGAAACTTTTACAGAAATCTGATAGAGTAATTTTATGTCTGTTAAATGTAAGAATAAAATATTTGGACTTATATTTTGTATGTCATTTAAATTTTTAATTTTCTAATAATTCATTATTACTGTATTTTATGAAATTATTAATCCATAATGAATTAGAAATTAAAAAATTAAGATATTCACCATAGATAAGAAGCACTACTTTGCTAATGTCCTCATTCTATCCTCAGAGAAAAATTCTCAAAGAGTAATCTCTACTTGAGTTCTTTACCTTATATCCATTTATTCCTCACCCCACTCCAATCTGAGTTATGATCCCATGACTGAACAGAAACGTTAGCCCATGTGTTACGTGCTGAATTGTGTCCCCCCAAAATTCAGAAAGTCTGAACTCCCAGTACTTCAGAACATAAGTGTATTTGGAGACAGGGCCTTTAAAGAGGTAATTAGGGTTAAATAAGCTCTTTAGGGTGGGCCCTAATCGAATATGACTGGTGTCCTTATGAGAATAGGAAATTTGGACAGAGAGAGAGAGAGAGAAACACCAGACACATGGACCTGCAGAGGGATGACCATGTGAGGACCCAGTGAGAAAGTGGCAATCTATAAGGCACGGAGAGAGGCCTCAGGAGAAACCAAACCTGCTGTCTCCTTGATGTTGGGACTTCTATCCTCCAGAACTGTGACTCTCTCTCTCTGTTATTTAAGCCACCCAGTCTGAGGTATTTTGTTATGGCAGCCCTGGCAAACTAATGCACCCACTTACTATAGCCAACAAGATATTTTCTAGTTTTCACCTTGGTCAACCCCTCTTTCTTAGTAGTATTTGGCATTTTTGACCATTGCCTCCCCTTCTTGACACATTCTCTTCCCTTGACTTTCAAGACACTAGAAACCTTGGCTTTTTTGCTTCCTCTTTAATTCTTCTGTCTTCTTTGCAGGCTTATCCTCTCCTATCAGCTACTAAATAATAGGCTTGGTTCTAGGCCATCTCGTCACTTTTGTCCACATTATCTTCCTTAGGTGATCTATTTCATATGCAGGGCTGATACATATATATCCAGCTCCCTACCTGACATCTTCACTTGGATAACTCAATGAGCCTAACTCAACCTTAAGTCCAAAAGCAGACTTACGATCCTTCTCCTCCAAATCCTGTTCTCTCCTAGCCCTCCCTTTCATAATGTGGGATATCACCATCCATCTATTTTTCTATGCCTAAAGACTAAGAGTCGTTCCTCTCATTATCATCCCTTATATGTAAGCTATCACCTAGTCCTTGTCAATTGTACTCCTCCCATCTCGCTTAATTCTTTCACTTTTCTCCACTGCTATCTCTCTAGTCCAAATTACCTTCATTTCCCATGAACTACCGTATCTCTTATCAAGTCTATTCAGATACCCTCCCTTGCTCTCTCTAAGCTGTTTTCATCCAGTACAGCCATCTTTTTGAAACACAAATCTAATCATGTCATTACCTTGCTGGAAGCATTTCCATAACTTCCTGCTGCTCTTAGGATAAAATCAATATAGAAATCAGACCCCTATGTACTTCTCCAGTCATATCTCCTACTCTTGTTTTGAGTGCTCTAGCCCCTTTCATTTCTTCGAATGTGGCATCAAAACCTGCCAAAGAGGCCATGCATAGGGACAATCTTCCTCACTAAACCCATCCCCATTAATCCTTGTCTTTCTTCAGATAACAGCTCTAGTATCAGTTTCACAGGAAGGTTTTATCTAATCTCCTTGATTGGGTCAAAATTCCTTCTATTACATGAGTCCATAGTATCACACAACTCTCTCCTCTTATTTGCATGCATATAGGTGTAATTCTACACATTTGTGTGAATATTTGACCTCCCTTACTAGAATGTCAGCTCTACAAAAGGACAAGAACTTTATACCCAATGCGGAGCAAAGGGCCAGAAACAGTGGTCGATCAATAAAAATTTACTGAATGAAAGGAAGAATGAATAAATAAGGCCTCTTACAAATCAATAAAAAAAGACAAATACAAGATTAACAAAGAATTAAACTACCAATTTAAAAATAACCAATAAATGTTCAACCTCATCAGTGATCAAAAAAAGTGAATGTAAAATGAGATAGTATTTCCACAGCCATTAAATATACAAAAATGATAAGAGCTTGGATTTACTAATATAAGCAATCTTATATTAAAATTGATCAGGAGAATATAAGTTGATAACACCTTTCTGGACAGCAATATCTAAGAAAAACCTCAAATTTTTGCAAGTCTTTGAAAATTTACTTTTATGAATCATCGGAAATGTACAAAGATTTAGATATAAGGGCATTTACTGACAGTGCTGTCTATAATGGCAAAAAAATAAAGGAGACAAGGCAAATATCAAAAAATGAGAGACTGGTTAAATAAAGTATGTGATAAATCTATTTTAATGTAGCTATTAAAACTATTTTGTAGAGCATTTAATAACAAGGAAAGTTATGCAAGGTATATTAAGTGAGTAAAGTAGGTTTTAGTATGACTCCATTGTTTGCTTAAACACTAAGAATCAAAACACACATATAAAACTACTCAAGTTTTCCAACGAGAAAAAAGACTGGGAAATAAAACACACAGAAATCTTGTGGGTATTAATTGTGGTGTTTTCTTTTTGCTTATTTACTTTTGAAATATTCTATGATGAGCGTGTTTTACTCTTACAATAAGAAAAAATTATAAAAAGAAAAAAAGAATAGTTTGAAAGATGATATTTGTGGTTAAAAAGAAATATTTCAGTTGCAGTATAACCAATCAAGTAGTTCTCAACCTAGACTGCTGCTTATCAGAATTACCTATGCAACTTTAGGGACCCGTCCTCCAGTTCATTTTGGTATAACACTACAATGGTATCATTCTAATTTGAGACTCTCACATACTGTGATGCTTTCAACAATTTCTAAGACCAAAGATTTGATGTAATTAAATATTTTAAAACAATACTATAAAATAAGAGACTAGAAAAAAACATTTGATTAATCACCTGGTTTCAAGCTGGCATTAATAGGTCTGGCAACTGCTACAGCCATCTGTTCCCGTCGAGGATCTTGGTAACTCATTTTACTAATGAACTCAATCGCAGCTTCTATACTTCTGTTATTAGTTTTCTGAAGAGCTTGTATAACCATATCCTGATATGAAGTTTTAAAAAAAGAAACAAAATTTAAATCTTATAATTAAAAAATAGTAAGAGACAAAAAGCAATATGATGTTCCACTAGACAAATTCATAATTATGAAGAAAAACGCCCCAAACCATATATTAATATCTTCTTTGTAAAACTACTATAAAAATCCATACAATCTCAAATTTCTAAAGAAAACATAACAAACCCTCAAATCCTTCAAATGTTTCTTTAATATTTTTATCTTCATGTAACATATTACTGTTTTCTTCTAGGATTAACAACTTCTTGGTACAGTCATAGCAACATGATTCTGATTATTTCTCATTCTTAATTTCATTCTTATATAAACAAACAGAGACTATCAGACTGTTAGAAAAGTATCAATCAAAATACTGGAAGCTACTCATGTCATTAAAGATTTTATGAAGCACCTTTGCCACTGTGTTTACTAGTAAAAAAGCTATGTAATTCTGGTTCCTATCCTTTAGAGCTTACATTTTTAGAGAACTTTATTTATAAGGACAAAAATAGAGGACAAATGGTAGAAGAAAAACACTTAGCCTGTATATGATTATGTGATAAAGACTTTAGTAGGCTAGATGGTATAATGGAAAAAGCAGAGAGTTTGGAATCAAATAGAACTGAATTTGAGTTCTAGTAGCCTCCCAGTACTGTGCTTTTGTTTTTCATGCTTAGAAGCAAAAATACAGTCCAGTGATTGTACATTTGTGTGCCCTACTTTAGAAGTGTGTGAACTGGGGCCGGCCCTGTGGCCGAGTGGTTAAGTTCATGCAATCTGCTTCGGCGGCCCGGGGTTTCGCTGGTTTGGATCCTGGGCGTGGACATGGCACCACTCATCAGGACACGTTGAGGCGGCGTCCGACATGCTACAACTAGAAGGACCCACAACTAAAAAAATATACAATTATGGGAGGATTTGGGGAGAAGAAGCAAAAAAAAAAAAAAAAGGAAGATCAGCAACAGTTGTTAGTTCAGGTGCCAATCTTTATTTATTTATTTTTATTATTATTATCATTTTTTAAAGATTTTGTTTTTCCTTTTTCTCCCAAAGCCACCCGGTACATAGTTGTGCATTTTTAGTTGTGGGTCCTACCAGTTGTGGCATGTGGGATGCCGCCCCAGCATGGCCTGATGAGCAGTGCCATGTCTGCACCCAGGATTTGAACCGGTGAAACCCTAGGCCGCTGCAGCAGAGCACACAAACCTAACCACTCGGCCATGTGGCTGGCCCCCAGGTGCCAATCTTTAAAAAAAAAAAAAAAAAAGTGTGTGAACTTTAGCAAGTTATTTAACATTTCAGAGCTCAATTTTTTTTTTTTTATCTGTAATACACTCACAGAGTTGAAGTGAGGGTTAAATAAAAAACATGTAAAAGCACAGTGCCTGGAGCTCAGACGTGGGTTGTCCTCTTGCTCTACTCCTTGTCCTTTATGTGGAAACATAAATTATACACTAACATGCAGAAAGTATAGTGATATGCATTTTTCAAGAGGGAAGCAGGTACTTACTTGTCCTAGAGGATTTAGTATTTCAAATGATACTATAAATGAAATATGGCTTAGTAAGACTAATGGGTGAAGGAGCTACTGACAGAAGATCCTCCTACATGAAATGACTGGAGTTGAGTGTGAGACCAACCAAAAAAAGGCTGTAGGAGAGACCTGTTGTCTACTCAAGATCCATTTTCCCTTTCTTGGAAAAAGTTACTAATTTTGTTGGAAGAGGTTTTCCTTACAGCTACAGTGGCGACATGATGATTCAGACCAATGAGACAAAAGCAAGGACTTAAGGAAGAATGTTATCTCTGATTTATGTACTGGTCCTTCCTGCATCCTGTTTCCTAGACAACAGATATGATACCTGTGCTAGAGCACGTTGCCACCAAGAAGGAAAATTCAAGAGACTCATAAGAGTCCCAGGTTCTGACAGCTTTAAGAGATTGAATTAATGCTATATAAACCAAGTCACTATTTTGTTTAAAGCATTATTATTTGGATTTTTGTTAAAAGCGACCAAACTCAATCCTTTACTGATACAAAGGTACAGTGGGGTCACATTTTACACCAACCAGACTTTGCAAATTTGTAGTGAGACACAAAAGAGTTAATAAATCTCACTTTATGTGCAAATTTAAAATAATACAAATCACCCCAAATTAAAATTCACCAGGGAGTGGTTAAACCAAGTGAACTATACCTGTATTTATGCTACTATCTCATGGCAGTCCCATCTCAGTTGGTAAGAAAATTGGGACCCATGATCCTTTTTGAATATTGTGGGAACCATAATCTTGTTAAATGTGCTAGAATTTCAGTCTGTGATTTTATTTTTGAATATTTATTGCTATATGTTAAAATATTTTTTACATCTGTAATAATATCAACCAACGTTCCTTAAGTAAGAGTGTTAGTGCCCGTGTCAAAAAAAGTATCACCAAATCAGTAACTTGAGAAGTTTTATGTGATAAGAAAACATCATGTCCAAATTACTATGATTTTGTTTTTCATGCTTAGAAGCAAAAATACAATCTACTGATTGTACATTTATGTGCCCCAGGAACGCACCAATCCTATTTAAAATTTATTCCTATGAGGAAATTAGTCTTGAAATATTTGAGGTTTTAATTTTACCAAGCACCAGAAACATATTCTCAAAAAACTGCTACTGCCTTGAATTTGGCATAGCTAAGGGAATAGATTAGGTCTTATGAAATGATAAAAATAATGAAGTGAAAACTGGATAAGAATTTTGAAGTACCAAGTTAGGATCTTGAACAAATTCTGCAATATAATGGGAAGCTATCAAAATGAGTGATTCAAGGAGGCAATAGAATTACCATATTCTTTATATCACCATGGGTATAAATAACACCATACCTTCATTATTTGGACAAATGAGGATTGATAACTATCTAAGTGCTTTTAGCAAGGCAATCTTGCCTTAAGGGGTTATTAATGTCATAAGGTGGGGCTGGCCCCGTGGCCGAGTGGTTAAGTACGCGCGCTCCGCTGCAGGCGGCCCAGTTTCATTGGTTTGAATCCTGGGCACGGACATGGCACTGCTCATCAAGCCACGTGGAGGCAGCGTCCCACATGCCACAACTAGAAGGACCCACAACGAAGAATATTCAACTATGTACCAGGGGGCTTTGGGGAGAAAAAGGAAAAAATAAAATCTTTAAAAAAAAAAAGTCATAAGGTGACAATTTTGAGACGTGTGATTGTAATAAAGCTAACATATCTTTGTAATGCAAAGAAATTATTGTTATTATTGCCAACAGAATAGGGCATTAACCAATGCCTTAGATTTCTTAAAACTGTCTACATTAGAGAGAAGTTTTAAGTACCTTAAAGGTACGGACCATGTTTGGGATGACTCACTGTCCTGATTGATGGGTTTCCACACGGTAAGAGCTCTATGAATACACATCTTCGGAGGTGACTTATCTGACTTAACACACTACCACTGACGGGCCTTCACAGCTGTGCGATTTCTAAACTCTCCTTAGCAATAGACAAAAGCAAAGAATAAGGTCAAGGATTCACCCGTTTCTTTATTCTTTGCCTTTGGGCTAAGGGATTAGGAAGAAAATAGCCTGGAGAATCTCCATTCAAGCCATTTCCTTAATCTTCCAACTACTAACCAAGATAACATCCCAGGTCCTCTCCTCTCTCTCTATCTTCTGGTGCAAATCCCATAGTTTTAGAACACAAGAACAAAAATGATAGGAAATAATAATAATCAAATGGATGAATAAAATGGGCCAGAAAAAATAATCTTTCTTCCTAGTTTAGTTGTAAATCTCCCTTTTCAAATCCTTTACTGTAATGCATACCTAATTAGGTTCTCAATTTAAAATTAAATACAAAGATATCTGAAAATGTGGTCACTCGAAGGATTAACAATAGTGAAGGAACTTTAAGGGTAGTTATCATTGTGCAGTAAAGCTAAAGGTAATTTTCAGTTTCTTCTTTATAGTTTTTACTTTTTAACAGGGAATAGATATTACTTTTATAATCAGGGAAAAAGTTACTATGATTTTGAAAGAAAATGTGATTCTTCATTATTCACACTTACCTTTTCCATGGCCAATTTTCATCTAAAATGATTTCTGCGACTTAAAATATTCATATAAGGTATGTCATCAGGGAAAAGAAATTTTATTAATAACCTAAAGAAAATGATTCAATCTATTGCTATAGAAAATTTTCAAAATGAGTTCTGAAGGTAAATATTAAAGACTTGGCATAATTAACATGATCTGAAATTTCATTAAAATAAAACTGAAATTCTTGGAGACTGAACAACATGTAAATTTTCAGTTTTTGTGAATTTAAGATTTGGTCCTGAGAGTGACGTCAACATAACTGCTTAACGAAATCCCTATCCTCCTTTCTCTGTAGTACAAACTTAAACTTCACCTCCTCAGAGCTGCCATTGCTACCTGAGCCATTCAGCTCACCGCGCTCCTCTGGCACACACATGTCCCTATCCTGCCTTCACCTGTACTTCCACTCGGACTTCATGACTCCACCTGGGAAATCCCAGAAACCACAGAGAAAACTAAAGAAATAATAATTTCTTTGCTTTAATAACTAATGTAATTGTAAACAACATTCTTTGCTGAGAGAAGATACAAATTTGTATACATGGTTACATTCTCTCAAAGGAAACATTTAGGCAAGAGAGAATGTGAAAAGTGTTACGTAGTATAGGGTAAGAAAAATCCTTTCTTTTGTCTTAAAAAGTTCTTACCTCATCAAATCCAGCAGCTTGCAAGTCTTGAAGCATTTGTGGATTAACTTCTGAAGTACTTCGACTTGTTTCATTTGCAAATGGTTGTAGAGAGTTTCGAATTTCCAGCAAGGCTTTATGATGTGTCCCAAATTTGGGTGGATTTCTGACTTGTCGAGGATCTTCAGTTGACATTTTACTCATATTATGCTCAGCCTTAGCAGCATCGGATGGTTTGGATAAATTCCTAAGGGATTCCCGAATTTCTTGCAACATTTGTCGGCTGCTGCCAGTGTAGTTACTGGCAGGAAAGGTCTTAGGCCTCATTTGTCTATATCCCTCTGGCTTTTCACTCCTCTTCATGAAAACATCTATATATATAACCCACTCAAAGGACTTCTTTAAGAGCTACTTGATAGATTCAGAGCTTTCTCTTGAGCAAAACTGAAGAAGATCCGATGCAGAAGTCCCCAGGAACGTTAAAATTCTTTACAATCAAATAATTAACCCTATAAAAGAAAAAATAAATAAAAGCTGTAAGTGATTAACTGATAGAGCAGTACCTTGTTTTACAGAAAAAAATCACTGATTTAGGAGTTAAGAGACCTAGGTTATAGTTCTGGCTCTATTAAGGATTACTGATGGTCAGGACAAGTTCGTTAACCTCTCTGTGCCTATTTTCTAATTATACATCACCTCAAGTAGTGGTTCTGATGCTAAAAGATAATTTTAAGAGCACTTTAGTAAGCATATAACACATATACAAATGCAAGGGATTACTAAGTGAACAATACAATGGGTGCCCTCTTGTTGGCAACTTCACCCAGCAGCTCCAATTTTAGATTTTACAAATTAGACTTCAAGTGTAAAATTTCTTGAGAAGAAAGGGTATTGTTGCCTTAAAAAAGGTTTTCAAACCACTTGTTCAGAAGTCACCTGTATGCTTGAAAAACATATGCTTGGGTTTATTTCCCAAACTGTGGAATGGGACTCGAGAGACAGTAAGCTTACTAACAATGCAACGGGGAAGGGCCTCTGAGGACGACTCCTCTTCCCCCTCACTTAAAGCATGGCTGTCTTCTACAGCGCACCCACAGAGCTGTCATCTGAAGTCCTTCTTAAATGTCTCCACTGATAGGGAAATCAGTACCTCAAGAAAGCCATTCCATTTGTAATCTGGAACAATTGCGGGACATGTTTTCTTTATGTGAAGCATCATGAAATCTCATTCAGTGCATACAGAAAGCCTGTTATGGGCCCGTGCTAAACAATGTTGCCTACATTCTTATCTAACCATGCTAACAGCCCTGTGAGGTTTGTGAATGAGGCAACTGAGGTTCAGAGACTAGGTAAAATAGTTTGTAAGTGGTACCACTGGAATACGAAACACCATCTACTGGGGGTCTATTTCTAGTCTTTTTCTTTTTTTTCAAGGAAGATTAGCCCTGAGCTAACATCTGCTGCTAATCCTCCTCTTTTTGCTGAGGAAGCCTGGCCCTGAGCTAACATCCGTGCCCATCTTCCTCTATTTTATATGTGGGACGCCTACCACAGCATGGCTTGACGAGCGGTGCCATGTCTGCACCCAGGATTTGAACTGGCGAACCCCAGGCCACTGAAGCAGAACGTGCGCACTTAACTGCTCCGCCACTGGGCGGGCACCTCTAGTCTTATTAAATGTAATCACCACTCATGTTTCATAAACACGTCTGTGGATAGATACAGGTATCTCCTTCTTGTCATTTAGGTCTCAGTCCTGTGTTACTTGCTCACAGACCCTTTCCCTGGTCATCTAATCACCCTGCTCTATTTTCTTGATAGCACTTATTACTATCTAAAATTATCTTACTTGTTAATTGTCAATCTCCTCTCACCGAATAAAAGCCACATGAGAGTAGAGGACCTTATTTTGTCTCATAACCACTGTCTGTCCACCGCCTATATCAGAGCCTGGCACACAGTGGGTGCTCAATAATTATACATGTTGAACAAGAGAAATAAACCTATGTCTCCCAAACATCCCCAGTTCCTTTAACTATTCCCTAGTTCTAGTCCTGCTCTTCTGGGTACGCTTTAGTTTATCAAAATCCTACAAGTGCTAGAAAAGCACAGCACTTGTAACGGGAAACAAAAAACCATTAAAGAACTTGTTCTGTTAATTATTAGAAATGTGGACTTGGGCATTTCATTCTCTCAAAAACCAAGTCCCCTGAGGCATAAAATGGTTGGAGCGACAAGATTTACCTTATGGTGAACAAAGATTAAGAGGAACAATGCGATACAACTAAAGGGATATACACTCAAGTGTTTGAAGATGTAGGCTGTCCCTTGCAACACGAGCTACAACAGCAGATGATGACAGCAGTCTAGAGGCTCATCAGTAACTGCTCGAGTAATTCATAGTACATCTATATGATACGTGATGAAGCAGATGTTAAAAAGAATGTAGTTCTATCCAAAGATAGTAACATGAAAGATACCCAGAACGTATTCTTAAGCAAGAAAGACAAGTTTCAAAACACTACACATAAATAGTGACTTTCTGTTTTAAAATTAGATTATGGTAATGACTATACAGCTCTGTAAATATACTAAAACCCACTGAATTGTATGCTTGAAATGCGTAAACATTATAGTATATTTTAGAGCTGTTAAAAATAAACCTTCTTCTTCTGCACAGCAAAGGAAACCAACAAAACAAAAAGACAACCTAACAACTGGGAGAAGATATTTGCAAACCATGTATCTGATAAGGGGTTAATATTTAAAATATACAAAGAAATTATACATCTCAACAACAAAAAAACTAACAACCCAATTAAAAAATGGGCAAAAGATCTGAACAGACATTTCTCCAAAGAAGATATACAGATGGCCAACAGGCACATGAAAAGATGTTCAATATCGTTAGCTACCAGGGAAATGCAAATCAAAACTACAACGAGATATCACCTCACTCCTGTCAGAATGGCTAATTACAAGACAGGAAATAACAACTGTTGGAGAGGATGTGGAGAGAAGGGAACTCTTGTGCACTGCTGGTGGGAGTGTAAACTGGTGCAGCCACTATGGAAAACAGTATGGAGATTCCTCAAAAAATTAAGACTAGAGCTACCATACGATCCAGCTGTTCTGCTGTGGGGTATTTACCCAAAGAATGTGAAAACACGAATGTGTAAAGATATACGCACCCCTACGTTCATTGCAGCATTATTCACAATAGCCAAGACTTGGAAGCAACCTAGGTACCCATCAAGGGACGAAAGGATAAAGAGGGTGTGGAATATATACACAATGGAACACTACTCAGCCATAAGAAATGACGAAACCCGGCCATTAGTGACAACATGGATGGGACCTTGAGGGTATTATGCTAAGTAAAATAGGTCAGAGGGAGAAAGTCAAATACCGTATGATCTCCTTCATAAGTAGAAGCTAAAAACAATGACAAACACACACACAGAAAATTTTTATAAAAAAATTTTAATAAATAAAAATAGCTTTAAAAAAGTAAACCTTTTTATTTTCTAAATTATATTTATAGATATTAATGACATACACACATACAGGAGTCTTGGCAGCAGGCCTGAGACAAGATGAAGTCCTGGAGCAGACCACTAGAGGCACAGTTTCCCGATGACTTCACTTCAATAATCAGCACTTTCATGGTACAATTGCTAATTAGTTATGAATTGATCAGATTCTCCTAGACAATCAGCCCACATTTCGCCATCTTATAAACACAGAAATGATGAGCTTTGTCACTATGTTGCTGAAAATAACACATATTCTGTCTACAACATAACCCAAACTACTGATAATTACTTCATAAATGAAATTAGGACTGACACATCTTGTGCTTTTATGAAGACAGCTGGTCCTTAATGAGCATTTTTTTCCTAAGTCTTCCCAAAATACTAATTTAACAGCTTACTAATGAATCTTTCTAGGCTTAACATTTAGCTCACCAGTCTAAACTTTGCAGAATTCACCTTCCTGCCCTTTCTGCAAGTGGAGATATTTTCCATTTCCGGTTCTGGAACCTATCATTTCTCCATGATCAAGGATTAACAATAGTGGTTGTGCAATTTCACATGTCAGTTCTCTCAGTATCTGGGTTGCACTTCATTTATAGCATCTATGCATTCCTTTTCTTTTTTTTTTTTTTGAGGAAGATTAGCCCTGAGCTAACTGCTGCCAAGCCTCCTCTTTTTTTGCTGAGGAAGAGTGGTACTGAGCTAACATCCGTGCCCATCTTCCTGTACTTTATATGTGGGACGACTGCCACAGCATGGCGGGCCAAGCAGTGCCACGTCTGCACCTGGGATCCGAACCAGCGAACCCCAGGCCGCAGAATCAGAACATGCGCACTTAACCACTGCGCCACTGGGTCGGCCCTAGGCATTCCTTTAATATCTCATTTATTTTGGGTTTCAACTCCACGTTAACTGTCATTTTATTATTATTTTATCATTTCCAAAATCATTCTCCTTGGTAGAGAAGAAAAAAACAAAATAAGCTTAGTTTTGCTTTTCTCTGTCAAGAAACAGCATTTGCTTCCATTCCTCTAATAAGAACCTCGTAACCATTAATCAGTGCAAAAATATTTCTTGAACTAATAAATGAGGTGATTTATCCCTTATTGTTACTCTTAAAAAAATATAAGCTTGGGTTTTTTTTCCTAATTATAAAAAGATGCACTCACTTAAAAATTCAAATACTATAAATTCTATAAAGTAGAAGTCCCTCATAATTCACCTCCCTCCATACAGGGCATCCCTGCAGGACAGGAATAATGGCATCCCAAAATATGCCATTCCTAATCCCTGTAATCTGTAAAAGTTATCTGATTTGGAAAAAGGGATTTAGCAGATGCCATTAAGTTAAGGATCTTGAGATGGGGAGATTACCTCCGATTCTCCAGTGAGCAGGACATGCAATTACAAGTATCCTTATGAGGCGGGAGCCGGGGAAGCTTTGATACACATAGAAGAGGAGGAGATGAAGACTGGAGTGGTGTCCAGAAGCCAAGGAATGCTGGAAGTCAACAGAAGCTGCAAGTGGCAAGGAAAGGCTTTTCTCCTAAGGCCTCTGCAGGGAGAGCGGCCTTGTCAACACCTGGATTTTGGGCCAGTGATACTGATTTTGGATTTCTGGCCTCCAGAACTGTCGGAGAATAAATTTACGTTGTTTTAAGCCATTAAGTTGGTATAATTTGTTCCATAAGCCACAGGAAACTACTAAAATCACTATTAATACAGCATTTTCTAACATATTACTGTTAATCAAAATGGGATAACACACAAAATATGATATCATTCTTTTCCATAATCATGTGAATTTACAAGAAGACAATGTTGTATTTTCCAAATTTATCTCACCAAAGAACTTCATTTCCTCAGAGCATTTCAAGACATTCATGTTCTGTGGAACTTAAACTTTAGAAAATGCTGGACCAGAAGATTCACTCTAGTCCTATGTTCTATAACTCTTTACTTTGATAACGCAA